AGGGACCTATATGCAATTTTTGATGCCTACAAGCATTATTTGATATACTCAGACCCTGTGGGATTTCCACTCTTTGTGGTGCATTTATACCAGGAATATGGAACTTGGTCACTCCTTTGTGATCAGTGAATGCATCTGGCAGCTTATTTGCCAAATTTTGCAAATTAATTATCTTCTAAACTTCAAGTTCAGTCAGACTAGTACGTGGATCTAAATATTGAAGATCTTTTTCATACCATGATATTTCTCAAAATTCATTTAATTTTTGGTGTTTATCTCCCCCTAATGTCGAGAAATGATCTTCATCGAATATGCAATCAACGCACCGAGCAGTAAATTGGTCCCCTTTCATGGGCTCTAGGTATTTTATAATTGACGGAGTTTCATAATCGATGTATATACCTAGCTTTCGCTGAGGGCCCATAGAGGTACGCTTGGGTGGTGATATTGGAACATAAACTGAACATCCGAAAACATGCAGATAGGAAATGTTTGGTTCTTTACCACACACTAGTTGTAAGGGGGAATAATTATGATATGCAGTGGGTCGGATTTGGATTAACGCAGCAGCATGTAAAACGGCATGTCCCCAACAAGAAATAGGTAGTTTTGAATTTTGTAATAATGGCCTAGCAATTAGTTTGATCCTCTTAATTAACAATTCTGCTAAACCATTTTGAGTGTGGACATAAGGAACCAAATGCTCTACTTTAATACCCAATGCCATACAAAAATCATCAAATGATTTGGATGTGAACTCAGCAGCATTATCCATACGAATAGATTTAATTAGAAAATAAGGAAATTGAGCTCGTAATTCAATGATCTTTGCTATTAATTTAGCAAAGGCATTATTACGGGTGGATAACAAGTTGATATGAGTCCACTGAGTAGATGCATCGATCAAGACCATAACGTATCTAAATGGTCTTGATGTAGGATGAATGGGTCCACAGATATCTCCTTAAATCCTTTGAAGGAAAATGGGAGATTCAACATTCACTTTAGTACGAGAATGGCGTACTATAAGTTTTTCTTTAGTACAAGACTCACAAATATAGTCTAACGATGAGGGGACATTGCTGCTTGGCATATTATGCCCAATTGACTTTAATATTATCTGACGTATCATATTTTGCCCAGAATGACCTAATTGCTTATGCCATAATTTAAATGAATTTAGATCTTTAAATTTTAAACTCATCACAACATGGTTAGTATTAGGTCGGATATATGTGTAGTACAACCATGAGGAGAAAGATGGAAGCTTCTCTATAACCTACTTCCGATATCTAATTGACTGAGTCATGAGAAGATGTTCAGCACCATTCTCATTTTTGATTTTAATATGAAAACCATTAGACCAAATATCTTTAAAACTAAGAAGGGTACGTTTGGATTCTGGATATAATAATGCATCATTAATAATTAATTCCGTATCCATAGGAAGTATTAGTGAAGCTCTGCCGGAGCCTACTACCAAACATATTATCATTAGCAATGGTGGTCACACTTCTTTATTTTTCAGACAAAGTTTGGAAAATTTTTCTATCTTTCAGGATAGTATGTGTGGTAGCACTATCTACCAAGCACAAGATAGTCTCCTTCTCCATGGGTTGTATGCGAGAGTTGTCGTGCTATTTAAAAAAAATGAAATATTGATATAAACACAACAAAAATAAGGTAAATGCATAATCATTTGAACAAACCCATACAAACTTAAAATTGTCTTACAAAAAACATGCAAAATAAGTTTAGAATAATTCCAAATTATCTTAACAAAAGCAACTAGAACAAGTCTGAAAAAATGAAATAGACTAATAAAACATGCATAGATAGTGATAAATAACATGATCACTCCTGGTCACCAAACTCATCAAGCTCCATCTTCAATAAGTCATCATCGTCCATATCATCATAATTGTCATCTTTTAGGGTCATGTTTGCTTCAGGCAAACTGGCATGATGTTTCTCACATTGTTTTGCCTTCCCCTTTGAGTCCTTCAGCATTCTCTGATAGGCCTCAACCAAATGTTTCGGTGTACGCCTTTGAGTCCTTCAGCATTCTCTGATAGGCCTCAACCAAATGTTTCGGTGTACGACATGTGCGAGACCAGTGGTCCTCACATCCAATAGGCCTCAACCAAATGTTTCGGTGTACGACATGTGCGAGACCAGTGGTCCTCACATCCACACCGATAAAAAGCTTGCTTGTTATTTGCAACCTGTTGATGAGAGTTAGGCTTGTGTGAAGGAGATTTATCCTCGTTCTGACCCTTATCACGGTCCTGAAGACCATTAGCATTGTGACGACCACGACCCCTACCACCACGATAAGACCCGCGATCACGTCCATGACCTCTACCATGTCTACGCCCATGAGTATTACTCTGTTTCGCAGCATGTGCTTCAGGCACAGCTTGCGAACCAACTGGTCTAGCATTATAGTTGCGCATCAGAAGTTGGTTGTGTTTCTCTGCAACTAGTAACACAGAGATTAATTCAGAGTGTTTTGAATAGTTTTTGGTCCTGTACTGCTGCTGGAATATAAGATTACTTGCATGGAATGTAGAGAGGGTCTTTTCAATCAATTCAGTCTCTATAATATTCTGCTTATAGAGCTTCAGCTGTAAGACAATGCGATGAAGAGTTGAATTGTATATAGTCACGGATTTAAAATCTTGAAATTGCAAGTTCAACCAATCTTATTGTGCTTGCGGGAGCATAATAGCCGTCTGTTGGTCAAAGCGATCCTTCAGGGATTGCCATAGAACAGCAGGATCTTTTCAGTAAGGTACTCATTTTTAGGTCTTTTTTGAGATGATGCCGAAGAAATATCAATGCCTTTGCCTTCTGGGCAGAGGTGCTCTGAGAAGCTAGAACAATAGTGTTGCTTAAATCATAAGAATCCAGGTAGATTTCAACATCCAAGGCCCAAGTCAAGTAGTTGCTGCCATCAACAGCAAGCTCAGCAAATTCCCTTTTGGTGATGTTAGACATTGTTCAGAAATGCTATAATTATCATTAGAAGATATATCAATCCATCAAATTTATAAAATATTACACTATACAAGGTGTATATACAAACAGAAGAAAATAAATAAAGGAGCCACAAATCATTAGTTACAGTGCATGCCTCTGTTCTAATTAGCTAGGACAAGTGATCAATCAACAGAAGATGTGCATTTGCAAATTATATTAAACCCGTCTCCATGAAATCAACATATAATAAATAGTTTATATGCATGTATATTATATAAAAAATACGAGAAGGGGGAGATTCTATATATATAAAAACAAACAAAATATGAATGTTTGTTTATTTATTTTTACAAGATGAAAACAGATTGTATTCATAATAAGACTAACATGCATGTTTGTGTGTTTATAAAAGGACAACTCAGCAAATATATCATCATCACATGATTCACATAAAAACAAACCAAAGAATTGCATATCATATTGGACATAATCATAATCATTCGACAAAAAACTTGATACTATGTAAATAGACAAAGGCCGAATGTACTATTACCTTGCAGAAGATGTACACCTAAAAATCTATTACTACGAACCAATGATCACGAACCGGCTAGAGCCACTCGTGCTGATAACGTATTGTAATATACTAAAGAAATGAAAACAAGAGACAAGAAATAAGAAAAGAAGAGAAATTGTAATTTTTATTCCACCCCATCCATTTCCATACATGGTACAATTTATAGATACATGATGGAAGATAAAAGGACATTGGGCTAATGAAAAGACACCAAGTTAATAGTCCACATACAAAGTAATGTCCACATACATTTTGTTTTTTAGATTTTAACAAAATTCATTTTTTAGCAATGTTATTTATTGTTTAGTAAATAATTATGATTATATTGATAAAAAGCAGAAATAAGTGCAAACAAAAATGCATGATAGGAAAAACTGAGCTCAATAATCTTGAGATAAAATGCTTTGCCTGAGGACTATAAAACCAAAAGCTAAGGATATGTTTGGATACTACAGTGATTTTTGTGTGGTATTTCCAAAACACCATGGAGCTTTTCTCAAAAGTGTTTTTAAAACACCATTGTAAGTGTTTTTGGTCAACAATAGTTTGACCTTTTTATAACCTTAATATTAAATATATTATTAATATATTAAATATTAAATGCAATATAATCTATTCTAATTAATATATCATATTATTATATACAATTAATATGTTATAATTATAATATTATATACAACTAATAGATTGTAATGTTATATATTTTACATATTTGTAATATATATACTATATCATAATGTTGAAATATCATTTTCAAATAATAATATGGGATTTTTACTTTTAGGTCCATTTGTTTACTCCCATTTATTTTTAAACCCACCCAATATTGTTTGTATCTCTAAGCCCAACTCTCTTTCTGTATTTATCTTTAAACCCAAATTCTAAAATACAATACATTTAGTAGTTGTATTTATACAGAAGCAAGGTAAAAGCCCTAAAATACCCCTTTCCCCATATCAACGTCTCTCTCCTCAAAATTCCCTTTCACTGGATTCCTAAATTAAAAAAAAAATCCCCGTCGCCCGCTCCTGCCGCCGTGACCCAGCTGTCGCCGTCGACTCCGTCGCCCGCTCCTGCAGTAGACTCCGTCGCCGTGACCCAGCTCTCGCAGTCGCCGTTGTTGCCCGTCCCAGTCATCATTGCCGTCAAAGTCGCTGTTTCAGGTATTGATTTCTCACGAGCATTGGCTGGGTTGCCGTCGAACTTTTTTATTTTTGATATTTGGATATTGACTGCATAGATAATTATTGGCTCTTAAACTCAACAATTTTAGCTTAGTTGTTGCGTTTATATTGTTTTGAATTCATGACTTTATAATTGAGGATTGGTATTGGTTTTCTTACGTTTTTAAGTTCATAAATTTTTGCGTATATTCAGTCCCAATTCTGGGACATCTAAAGTTTGATACAAATGTCTGTTATTGTACATATGTTAACATTTGCTACATTTCACTGAACGAGAAGAGGAAAAATATCATAGGCTGTAAATAGGTTGATATAAAGCTAAAGCGTGGTAATTTGAGTATTGAGATTGTCTGTTACAATTTTGTTTGTAAATATGATACAATTTTGTCTGTAAACATCTGATTCTGTAAACATTTGATACAATTTTGTCTGTAAATATGATAGACAACTAAAGTCGCCTTATGTTTTATGGTTGCAGAAAATTCTATCTCATGGCTTTAGTGCGAATTCCATCGAACATTGGGTACTTCCGGGACCTTCAAAATCAGATTTCTAGATTTCTACTTATTTATCGGAAGATCAACGAATTGCCCTTCGTGACACTCCATTTTATGGCTACTTAGATGTTCCAGATCTTCCAGTGCAACCAGTTATAGTGGATTGTTTGTTGGGAGTATTTAATGTCGAAAAAAGTAGTTTCAAAATTGGAGGAAAATGGACCTCCTTTGATGTTGAAGAAGTTGGGAGAATCACGGGTCTTCCGATGGGAGGATCTATAGTAGACACGCGGTTTCATAGAAGTGATCGCGATACAATCTACAAGCTTGTGCTTTCACATAGTACCGCGGCTGAAATTGAAGAAGATAGTAAGCGTGTGATTAGAAAAGGAAAGAAGAAAATTGACGAGGGTAAGAAGAAGGTTGTGTGTGCTAGAAGAGATAGGATGGGTGAACTTATCAAGCAGATGGCCGAGCGTAGAGATCCTCTTTTGCCACATATGCTCGTGGCTTTCATTATTGGCTTTATATTATGCCCCCAAGCTAGTATGAGTTGTCCCTTGTTTGCATTTAGATATGCTGAGAAATTGGGCACTCTTAAGGAGTATAATTGGGCTGAATTAGTATACAATGTGTTGTGTACCGAGATGATTAAGGCTAAGAAAACCATCACTAAGAGATTTGAGGGAAATCGATCTAGAGGTGGTTATATGGGGGGTTTTGCCTCGGTTTTGATGGTAAGTTAACATTTACTACATTTTAATGTCATTCTACATTGTATATATTAATTCATTTAGTCATGTTTATTGTTGAGCTAAAATTTTCCTTTTCTCACAGGTTTGGTTTTATGAGCTTGTGGGACAATTACGCCTTCGTGTAGGAGCAGAATCCCTACCACCCATCCTAAGCTTCCACAAGGGCACGGGATCTTTACGGAGGAGTACAGTTCAAGATTTAATTAGAGATCCGGCTAATTTTAGGAAGCATGGTGTTGAGTCAAGGGCTAACAAATTTGAAAAGAGACAAGTTGCCACTACATCCACTGCCCCTTCAAGATTGAAGAGAGAGAGAGAGAGGTATATATATTTCCATTTTTATTTTTATTCCATGTTAGTTAATTGCTCTCCATGATTTTTATTTGATGTTCATCCATGAATTGAACTTTACTTGGGTTATTTATGTGTAGGTAATCACCAAAGCTGAGTTGGATCAGCTCATACTTGAAAAACGGGTGGAATTAGACCTTCTGTTGAAGATAAGGAGGGACAAATTTGGTGATGAGGAAGAGGATGTGGATAGTGATGGAGGAAATGAGGATGATGAGGATGATGAGGAAGATGGGGATGATAGTGATGATGGTGATGAGGAGCGAAAAAATGAGGGGAAAGAGGAGGGTGCGGAGGGGGCTAATGAGGGGCATGAGGAGGATAAGGAGGGAGTTGATGGCGGGAATGAGGAAGATGAGGAGGGGAATGGTGGAGATATGGAGGAGGATGTCGGCGGGGATGATGAGGTTGGTAAAGACGTTGATAGATTGAATGTAGAGAAAGATGATGGTGAGGATGGTGGGAAGGATCAAGTGGGCATGGATTCAATGGAAGTGGATGACGACGCCTTTATTCTTAGCCCGCGCGATGTTACGTTGATTGAAGGCATGCGTAAAACCCCTTCCATCAAAAGAACAGTTCTCTCTAGATCTCGGCATGCTGGGCCATCAATGCGGTCTCCTTTTGTTCCACTTGTTAGTAGAAAAGGACGACCAAATTATCCGGGAAGGAAGGAAGTAATGGATGAGGAGAGAGAACTACTAGATAACTTTTGGAAGGAGAATATGGCCGCGTAAGTATTTTGAATGATTTACTTATTTACTTTTCAACCTGTACTAAGTTTTTTCATTAATACATGTTATGTATTTGTTTCATATGTAGTGAGACATTAGTGTGGTCATCTAGAGATGCGTTGATGACACGTAAAGATGCATTGGAGTTACTTAAAGGAGAGGCAATTAGCTGTGACGTAAGTATCCGTTCTTTTCATGCTTCACACAAATATACATAAACACGCACACATGCACACACATATAGAGTATTTTCTGTACCAGAAATCACATAGAAGCGTATGACTGATATTTGATACAATAACACATCTTATGCCTCCACATGCTTTTGATATTTGATACAATAACACACATATAGAGCACTGTACATGCTTTTGATATTGATACAATAACACATCTTATGCCTCCACAATTCAGTCATATATGCAATGGTTACTAATCTGAGGGCCGCATAACTGATAAACGATCTTCTGCTGCAAGCTGAAATTATGTAAATATTAGTGTTCACGTTAGTATATAACATGAATATTTACAAATTTATTATCTACATTTCAGGTTATAGCCTCCTATGTTGTCTTGTTAAATAGGTTAATGGAGACGCGTGCAAACTATGCGAAAGACATACACATATGTAGTCCATGGGTAACCGTAAGTAGAAATCCAATCCGAGATTATAAGTAATATTCATAAGCTATATTAAATACTTACTCTTAACTTTCTTTATTTTTTTAGAGATGCATCAATGAAAATAATCCGTCAAGTGTGGATCGAATGTTTAAGCCAATAACGACAACTCGATTCCAAGAACTTGATAAGATTATTTTCCCACTCCTAACTTCATTTCATTGGCATATGTTGGTGTTCTTTGTAAAGGAGAAGAGATTTTATCATTATTCTTCCCTCCGTGGTTATATGTCCGATGC